AGTTCCTTCAGATCTTGGGCTTGACTCTAACTAATCTGTCTTGAGAGTCTAAGCAATGTTTCTTTCCCATGCAACATGCCAACTTCAGATGCCAGTGACTTGCTCACAGCTGCCTCTGGCTTAATAGAAAATCACTATCCTACATAGACCAGTTATGATCCTTAAGATCTTTACCGTTCTTGGTGACGTACAGCACTATTCCGCCTCTTGGCCGGCTTGGTGACTTACCCCATATTTTTCCTGCAAAAATCCAGCCCTCAAAACTCTGAACTGCTGCGAGTCTTCTCAGTTCCATCATGACTACAGCTGCCATCATAATTAGCGTGGGTGAGAGCTAGCCATATTGTAGGTAAATTAAGTAGGCATCAGTTTTGCCAACGCTTTAAACTGAATACTTTATGGGAGAAAACCATGCTTATCTGGAGCTCTCTATTAGAGGTCTCTAATTAGTCTATTAATCTCCATTAGCCTCTAATTGAGATCCTTCCGTATTTCTGGGTTCTTTATGTCCCCAATAGTTTTGGTTTTCCATTTACTGGATATGACTCCTTCAAACAATATAATAGTTGTGAAAGTGTCTTCTTTAATCCATTTTCCCAAGTAGTTGGGACACATAAGGTGCATTGCTTTTATCTTTCTGTTCTTCCGAAAGGCGCTCTTTTGCTATCACACTGGACATGGTAAAAGAGCTGGTGGAAATTGTCAGGGCTAAGACCATCAGAATAACCATTAAGGAAATTGTTTAGTCAGTATGCAATTATTCATGTTTGGTCATTCAATTAATGCTTGATATTTTGGTGCTTTTATTAGCTCTGAAATAATTTAAATAGAACTACAGGATGTATCAACCACAATCTGGTGCTGAATTAGGCATGTTGTACTATCCTCTTTTAATTCATTTATTGTATTACTATGCTGGTCTTTAATAGTGTAGGAGTCCATGATGCATATCTCACTGTAGTTGCACAGTCCATATAAAATGTACATAATGGGTTTAAATCCAATAAATAATGCATCTTTGCATACATTTAATCACAATAACAATTCAGTAACAGAGGGAAACAATCAACATTTAAATTTACATAATGGAAATATTCTAATGAAGATGCCACACAACTATATTAGCATGTGAAAAATTGTCTTTTAACTATTACATAATTAATTATGTTTTAGAGGAAAGTACAGAAAAACAAATAGCCACCTGTTGAACTGGTTGCAACTGGATTTCCAAGGAGAAAATTTCATTAATAGGTTAAAATGGTTACTGATTTTCATGTACTGATTTGGCACTTATAAGTAAATACCTTTTAAGATTTCAGCCTTAGTGTAAAACACATCTGGTTTGATATTTCAGTTACCATCATGTACTAAAAGGCTTTAGCGTTTTGACAAAAATAAGCTATATATTCATTTATTATTTTCTTTAAAATGATAGCATTTAGCTCACTGGGTAGCAGCTAGATTGGCTAGGATCCTAATGTAAGGCAGTCTGCAGGGATTGTGGAGTAAGACTTGCCTGCAATCCATCAGTCACTCTGTGCCACCATTGTGCTTATGGGCAATGGGTCCCTAAGGCTGCAGACCGGTGCATTTATTTTAGCATTGTTCTTTTCCAAATGCCTTTGCCCACAACTGCTTAATAGCATCTGATGCCAGTGTACTGTCTGCTTTACAATAGGCTGAACAACTGGATGAAATTTAAGTGATGCATGAAACATATGCATGATACATTCTGCGTGTTTTTGGCACTTTCCCCTTCTCTGGTAGCTGACCAGCTGCAAGTACAGCTGCCACTGAAATTAACTGATATCTAGTTCTGCTCTCCATCAATTTGGAATACAGGTTTCAAAAATTTAGCCAGAGATACTGAAATCCACAATGCTTTTTATCAAATCTGTCACCTGTTCATTCAGAACACTTCCATTGTCTTAATATTTTCAATGTGTAGTCTGCATTATCTCAATACCTATCATTTTGAGAAATGTTTGTGTGTTCATGCCAAACTACTCCATGTAATATTTTCCAGTCCTCGGCACTTTTGTAGCAAGAACGTTTGATCTTCAATACTGTACAGGTACCCTCACATAAACTCCTACATTTCTGTTTCATTACAAGTCAAATTAACAGAATAACTGGGCTTCCATGTTGAATGATCCTGACTTAGTGTGATCCTGACTTATTTTCCTTGTTTATTAACCAACATCAAGTTAGAGTTCTTCAGTTTGGATGTCTGGGGGACCTCAGAATCAATAAAGTCAGGATTTTCATGCTAAAGCCAGTACCTGATGGGAGTGGGGAGTAGATAGGAAAGAAGAAGAGCTTGAACTGGACGTATCATTAAGCAGAGAGACTTCTTTGCTTTTGTTGGCAGCTAGTTTGGATGTCATTAAATACTAGCAAATTCTTAATTGCATTTAGTTCTAACCAATGTTAGACCTACTTAGAGTAGTCCCATTGAAATGCATGGGTCTTCAGGCAGACTGACATCTAATACATAAAATAGACTAACTTTTGGTGTGACATCAAATTGGGCCTGGGCCAATATAATTCCTTTGGTAGGTGAAATGTACCTATTCCTCTTAATGAGGGTCTATTTCAGGCTAACACACACAGTCTAGTCCTTCCTAATTCAAGACAGATAGCAGTCAAAATGTGGAAATGGGGTAGATTGAATCTCCAAAGAAGAGGCTTTATAGACTTGTCCTCTTCCCTAGTCAATGTCAGTAGCATGTCTCAGCCTTGGTAGTGAGAGAAAGAACACAATCTCCTCAGAAGCAGCTGCCTCCCAAATTTACATAGGAACAGGGGAGATCACAACACCTGAGGTTGACCCACCCAGACAGTAGGATCCTAAGGCATAGATGAGGCGTTGATAGAGAATCTCTCCCCAGTTAAAGAGTTTTTGTTTTACCTTCATTCTACAATCCATCATCTGATCCTTAAAATCCCCTCCTCTGTAGCTTACTATGCTGACATTCCTGCAGAAGCCAGCAATGAGGAGGAAAGAGAGTATCTGTCTTCCATTCCTTCATTCCTGCTAGGCAAAGCTTCATGTAGTCCCTCACAATTACAGTTTTCCCAAAGGCTAATGCATATGAGGGAAGGAAACTGGGGGATCAGAGGGTATATGTGGAGAAAGGGAAAAGAAATATTGGACTTTTTGCCTGATTTTCATAAGAAATAGAGTGCCTTATTTCTGATCCAGTTTGTCACAGGACAATTAATTGGTTTAATTGGTTTTAAAAGCAAATTTAATTAATATTATATGAACAACATAGATTGGCCACAGTACTTAAATGGCACATCCAAGTTAAGGGTAATATACTTGTGAGAATGAGCCGCTGGGGGCAATGCAAGGGAGGTGTTATAAGAGCATAAGAAGAACTGGGTTCATCTAGACCAACATTTAAACAGTGGCCAACCTGCTGCCCATGGGAGACCCACAAGCAGGACCTGAGTGGAGCATGACCTTCCCACTTACGTTCCTCAGCAACAGGCATGCGGCCACTAACACAGAAGGCAGTACAAAGCCATTAGGCACTGATAGCCTTTATATTACCTTCATGTCTTGCTTTTGTGCTTCCCTGGCAGGCCATTGTTAGGAACAAATGCTAGACTTGAAGATACTTAGTGCAATTTGACTCAGACCTACAGATGCACATCTTACGCTCTTCTGAAGTATGAATGAAGTATGAAATCACCTTTCATACAAAGTGAACCTGTTTTGCTATTCTTAGAAGTAAATATATTTGATAAATGAATTTATTAAGAATGATTATCTTTCCTCCGAGGAGAGGCAATATACAGGATCATCCCCAATTTTGTCTGCACAACAGCCCAGTGAGGAAGGCTAGACTGAGAGAGGCTGACTTGTGAAATTATTTTAATTAATGAGCAGAGAAATGTATCTAGGTCTTCCCAAGCCTAGCTGGCAAGTCAGCATGGCATCTCTGCTTCTGAGTAGATGCCTTCTAGCTGCAATTTCAAGCAGGGCTCTTGAGGTGGGTGATGGTTTCTGCACTGTCTTCCAGATAGTTTAAGGGACATGCAGGGAAGGGTAATAATACTTCCATGGGGGGGGGGTGATCCAGGGACCCCATTTTGTGTGAAGTGCAGCTTGCAGAAGCTGTTCCTGGTATGTCCACAGAAATATCTGACAGCTTGTATGGCTGTATCTTTAGTAGTGCATCAGCAGTTTATGTATGTTATATATAGCAGCTTCAGTTACTGTGTTTTCACTTAACTGCAGTTGAAGGAAACTGTGGTTTTACTTAACTCGGTGCGGAAGAGAAGTCGTTAAGTTCCAGAGAGATGTCATAAAGTGCTTCCTTTAAGTGAAAATTATTGATTTATTAAGTAAAGAAAAAAAATAACATGCTGAAATTACTAGGAAGTATGGTAAGAATGAATCTTCTGTCCACAAAATTGTGAAAAAAGTAATGCGTATGTGCATTTGTAAATATATATAGTGTTTCCTATTATCCGCAGTTTCAAACATCTGCTGGGGGGCTTGGACCCTATCTCTGCCTATATGGGGTCCTGCTGTACATTAAGATCAGTTAAGTTTGTTGGGCATTGCTGTAGAGTTTATGTATATCTTTCTAATAATGATTGATAAATACTATCTTGATGGATCCTCTGGAATAAGAAGTTTGGGAGTGAAGTTATATTACATTGCATTTTTCTGTGTGTAATTGATTTAGGAGAGAGGATGCCATTAGAGGAAGGTTGTGCAGGTACAATGGGACCATTTTGCTATGGGGGAAGGGCCTTAATCAAAACATTTCATTTTTTATACTAACACTATCATGACTGGAAATGGCCCTAAATTTTGTATGGCTTGGTAGCATGACTACTTTTTATATGGAATCAAATCAAAATACTAAAAATAATTGTGGCCATCACTACACATGTTGTACAGATATAACACGGAGAGCTATTTCCCTGTAGTTTCACAATTCTTCTGATCTGTAGCTATGCTTGTTCTCCTGTTTATTCAGAACTACTATGGAGCTGCCAAAATGATATTTTCTGACAACCCACTTGGACTGTCATGCGGGATGGTATGTCCAACTTCAGATCTCTGTGTGGGTGGATGCAATTTATATGCTACTGAGGAAGGACCAATTAATATCGGTGGACTGCAACAATTTGCTACCGAGGTAGGTACAGATGTATTTATATAGCTTTTTTTTCTTGCAGCTGTATAGCTTTTTCTGTTAAATGATTCCATTTCTTACTGGAATTGGGCATGTAGAGACCCAATTTGCATACAATGAGAAGCCACAATGGAAGCATGTCCTCCCTGGACTTTTCACTGGGACAACTACCATTTTGAATATTTTAGCTGTGATGGGAGCCACTGTAGCTTGGCATTTTATGTGTACCTCGCAAGGCTGGGTTGTTGGTGTGGTTGACAAGTCACACAGAACTCTTAATACATCCCATGGTTTCTAAGAGGCAACCACCCAACAACCCACCTTTGCTGGCACACAACAAGCTGTGGTACCCCATAGCCATGGCTTGAGTATTCAAAAGGGTGGCCATCCATGATGGCTTTGCCTTAAGTGTGAGCCAGGGCAGAGAGTTAATTCCAAACAAGAACTGCATATACTTTAATATATAGAAAGCATGCTCTGTATACATGGAGCCAAATATTTATTTATTTATTTATTATTTATTTATTTATAGCATTTCTATGCCGCCCCCATCGCAACAAAGCCTCGGGGCGGCTCACAAAAAAATATGCATTTATTATTTCGATAGAAGAACATTTTATACTATCTTTAAGTCCTAAACAGGATCCTAAGGCAGATCACATAGGATTAAATGCTAAATTATTTGACCAAAGTTCCACGACTTGTTCCATTGATTTCAGTGCGACCTAAAGTTCAGTGGGACTGAATCTAATCCATAATAATTTAAAAGAAAATGGAGTCCTAAAACTAGAGCTTTCTTTTGGGAGCCTGTTGCATATTTGCTTAAATATTCATTTAGTGGAACTGAGCATGGAACAGCAGATTTAGTTAAGAGCCTTCTGCTTGGATCTATTCAAATCTACACTGAGAATCTTACAGCAAAGGTAAAAATGGTTTATTTACAGTCCCCAAGCAATGCACATTCAAGTTAAGAAAAACCTGTGCTTATGAATGAACTGTCATATAGCCTATTAGTTTAAAAAAATTACTGGGGCAATTCATCACCATAGAGAGAGAAGAGGTGAAAGGGGAGAGAGGGAGGCCTCTAAAACGTGCCTTCCTACCCCACCCATCCAGATGGGGGTCCTTCTCCTCCAACTCGCATGAACTCAGACTATCCATGATCTGACTTCCATACAAATTTGTCTTAAAGGCAAATTTCCATTTTCTCAGAAACTGAACTTGTTCATGACCCAGGGACTGCCTTAATTTACAAACAATCCATATGCGGCTTGCATGAAGGATGTCTTGGAGAAAGATATCCTTTATCCAGGATAATTTGGTTTAAAAGGAAGGTCCCTTGTTAGATGGTTAGCTTGGAGAGAGGAGAGATAGCATGCTTCTTGTCTCTTGGCAAATGCCGGGAGAAAAGGGCATGGAGGGCAAATGGTCATGTGACCCTTTTGCCTTTCCAGGTGAGGTAAGCGAAGAAAAAGAGACAGGAAAGACATAGTGTAAACAGAGAGGTCGGTTTGATCTTGTCTGTGGCATTAACCCTCTTGCTCCCACTCCCATTAGTAGACCAAACCATGCAGCCAATGTAACATATGCCTAACGCTTTCTAAAACGTTACTCACAGTAGCAAATAGAGGTAGAAAAAACTTAGATCAGTTGCAATTCTTTAAAAAGAAGGGAAGCTAGCTGACATTTCAGGCTGTTTCCTGCCCATTCTGGAGTGGCAGATGTATGGGTCATGATGGCTAACCTCAACAATTTTGCAAGTCATGAATTGCAATGCGAATCTTGCCCAAACTGTGCTTATATAATTATAAATGTTAAAATGTATGTAAAGCATTAAAAAGTGAACCGTTAAGCAGCTGAACATTCAGACTTTGTTCTGTGACTCTATATGCCTGAAATGCAGCTTTTTCTCCATGGATGCATTATGTTTTTTCATATAATGCATCAAAGAAAAATGTTGGAATCGTGGTTCAGTTTGTCCAGTTTTCAGAACAAACTGAGATTAAAAAAAAAAGTCCTTTCTGAATTTTTTCAGTGCTTGGGTTTCAAAGTATAAACCCAGTTCTTCCCATCTGATGTCCTGTGGCCAGGAGTTCCCCTGGGCAAATTATCCTTGCTATTCTGTGTTCTTACAGTGCCAGAGCATGGAACTGTTTTCCTGTTCTCCTGCTTAGAAAGCTGGCAAATAAGTCCTCTCATTTCCTGGTTGGAGCAGTTGTTGTTTTGGCTACCTCTGTGTGACACACAACTTCCTTTGATGCATCTGGACCTTGGCCTTCCCAAGGAAGAAATTATTGAAAGACTAACTGGCAGGATCAATGGAGCACAGTGGGAGACTCATGCTTTATTAATCCTGCTACTATATTCAGTGTTTTTGTCTTGCTAGTGAAAGACCACTGCTATCATGTTTCTGTGGAATGGTTGGCTTTCGGAGTAATTAAAAACAAAACAATGAAAATCACATACACACTTGCAGCTTGTGTAAAAGAAATAGATTAAACTTGTGTCAAATGTGTGAGCAATATAACACTGAATTATGACTTTTTAATACCAAATGCAAGTAATATCTGTTAAACTTTGATTTGTGTCTCCTTTTATTCTTAATGCTATGATTAATAAGGATGAATTATGCCTTGATAGATTTTACTAAATATCTTCAATTTTTCTTCCAAAATCTTTAGAAATCTATTAAAAATGCTGTGCACTGGTACAGTGATTGATATTAAAACTGGCATTGGATGAATAGCTCAGAATGGCTTTCATCACAGAATTTTAAGTTTATTTAAAGTGATCTATTGGTATCAAGGGTTCTAATGCTGTTGAACGATGTGCTAGTTCTGCATAATTTAAAATGGGTTGAAATATATACACCCAAATATATATACTTAGACTACATACACTATTTATACCTTGCTTCTGCTCATAACTATTGTAAAATTTAGATGTTTTTTCTGTGTGCTGTTCTTAATGACTGGTTCATATATTATAGAAATGATAAGGAACAATAATCTGTCATAGTCATAATGCATTTTTGTAATACTCCACTTGTATTCCAAGCATGGAAGACTGAAGAATTTCTTGTTCTCTTCAGCAAATGGAATCTCCCCAAATAAAAATGTTGAGCTCATATTTTAGCCATAAACTGCAATAATAAATGTATGTTAGGAAAAATGAAGGTCAGCACCAGAAAAGCAGACGGAAACCAGGATGCAGACCTGAAAAAGTGCTGGGAGACCATTTGAAAGCTGCCCGAGTGTCGTAACACCAAGTATTTTGAATACACGTTGCCTCCCTTAAGCTCAATGGCTTTGTTTGCTTCTTGATGGAGGTATACAAGCAGTGTAAGCAACAGAGGCCATGTGTCAGCAGTTACTGCTACTGTTTGCTCAAAGTGGCCACGGTATTGCAGGCTCAAATGCGAGTGCAACTCTCCCATAGCTTTCAGTAGGACACCTGCCCAAGTGTTTAACTGTGTGGTTATAAACCAATTAAGCTGGGTTAATCCCTTTGTCTTTGGTGAGGCAGTTTGAATGGTTTGTGGTCCTTGCCTTTTGAGCTCTGCAAGATTTACAGCCCAATTGAAAACATACTGTGCCAGCAGATTAAGTGAATAGGGTGGGGGACTTATTGATTGGCTGTGCCAGTAACACAGCACAAACCAAGACATCATGCTGGCATTGCAGGTAGATAAGTGCAAATGTACACTGTCGAGGTGCCGCAAACACAAATGGCTGCTGCTGATTAGCATCTTGTATTTCTGGCATTTGTCCAGAATTACTTAAAATTGCTCTAGCAGCTTATGAGTTTTAAGAGCACACACCTTTTTCTGGTGCATTTAACTAATTTTAAGACCTCTTTAATACGAATAGTATCTTTGCAGACTGCAGTATACATCAGTAGACCTAGGAGGCATGGAAATAGAGTCTACCTATGTTGAATCCCCTTAGCTCCTCATCAGGGATATTGTGTCAGAAGGTACGCTAGCATACTGCAAGATGCCCCTTTCGGCATATGGCATGAGGAATAGTCGCATGTGAGGGAAAGGGGTCAGATACTCCTACCAGTTGTGCTATAATCCCAGATTCCCATTCTTCATTTTCTAACTAAATAAAAAAGCAAATCTTTCCAGCCTTTCTAAAACTCAAGACAGGCATAAAAGAGCCAGTGTGATATAGTGGTAAGTGCATGGGACAGGGACTCAGGAGCGCTGGGTTCTAGTCCCCGTTCATCCATGGAGCCAGCTGGGTGACTTTGGGCCAGACACAGACTCTCAGCCCAACCTACCTCACAGGTTGCTGTTTTCAGGACAAGATTGAGAGCAAGAGAGGGACAATGATGTAAGCTGCTTTGAGTTTGTAAGAAAAAGCAGAATATAAATCAAATGAATAAACTGTGCAAGCTGCATTCTGACCATCATTTCATGAGAAATAAGTTGGTTCCCATGTTTTACTATTTTTAGTAGGGATAGGCACAAAATCCAATTTGGGGGCAGGGATAAAATCTGATGGAATTTCCCAACACTGCCCTGCAGTTACAGCTCCATTTCCCACATGCTGGTCTTGCCACTCTTGGGTAGGTGAAGCCTACCAGTGATGGTAGATTTTTTTTCTCTGGTCCTAGAGAAGGCAGGGTGTATGCAGAGGCGGGATTTGCTGATGATTTTACTGAGTATTATTACTTTAAAGAGTATTATTGTTGTCATGGGGTCTCAATATTTAACCTTTACTTGTGTCAGAGTGCACCAAAAATAAACTAATTTAGAAATTTAAGGTTCAATTTATTTTGCTGAAAGCCAGGATTGTGTGGAGGTTCGAGCACTGGACTGGGGGCCTTGACGATTGGGATTCTAGTCCCCACTCACTGAGTGCCATCGAGCTAGCCACACTCTCAGTCCAGCCCTTCTCAGAGGGTTGTTATGAGGATAATATGGAGCTAGGTAAGCCATTTTGAGGGATCCAGGTGGCACAGTGGGTTAAACAGCTGAAATGCTGGGCTGATTGATCAAAAGATCACCAGTTCGAATCTGCAGAAATTTGAACCGGGGTGAGTTCCCGTTGCTCCGTCCCAGCTCCTGCCAACCTTGCAGTTCGAAAGCATGCAAATGCAAGTAGATAAAAGGGTACCACTTCCGTGGGCAGGTAACAGCGTTCCGTGCACCTTGGTGTTTAGTCATGCCGGCCACATGACCACGGAGACTGTCTGCAGACAAACGCTGGCTCCCTCGGCTAGGAAACAGAGATGAGCACCGCCCCCTAGAGTCAGGCATGACTGGACTTTAATGTCATGGGGAAACCTTTACATTTACCTTTAAGCCATTTTGGGTTCCTTGCAAGAAGAAAAAGGGTGGGATATAAATGCTATATAGTAAGCTTTTAAATTAAAGCTTATATAACCAGGGAGGAGTCTACAAGGGAAAAGCTCTACATGTGCAGGCCTGTTCATGTTGGAAAAGCCTGGACAGAGCATGTAACTTTCTTTCCCTGCCCATTGAATTTGTTGAGGATGAAAAAGGCCCCTCCTGTTCATTCAGATGCAACACAGCTTCCTTGCCAAAATATCCTTTCAAATCCTCATCTCCTCTGTTGAAATGGCATAGTTCTGTCAGTTTATAATGCCATTTAGATCTCTCGTTGTAATAACTGCACTGTCAGCAGAACTAGTATGGTGATGATTCCTTATATCATACCTGGAATTTTGAAATGACACCTGTTGGATTACAGTGGTATTGGGAAACGGCCCATGTAGGACCAGCTATCTATGTAGAGCAAGAAACTTGGGGAACAGCCTCAGTCTTTAGTGAGCTGTTGGTTAAGAGGCTTCATGGGGCTGCATTTGGACTCTCTTCTATGTGCAGAGTTGAATTCCTGCAGGGAGGGAATGCCAGGATCAGTTTCTGACACTGCTTAGTTCCTGGAGAAGAGTGAAAGGGGTTACAAAGCACTCCTTTACAGGCATCATGCTAATGACAGTGTGACCAATTAACTAACCTGAATGCAAAACAGTGGCATATCAGGAGCCTAGAATTGGTTTAATTTCTATTTGTGGGTATTGCAGTTGTCCCTTTGTGGGGTTTCCCCCACCATAGTGGGTCTTCATCTTTGTGAATTGCAGGAAAAACTTACTGATTAAATCTATTTCTTCCATGCCATAGAACAGGCAAGTCCGAACCCATAACTATATTATATTTAAAATATAATTCCCAGTTTTTCAGAAATTTAAAACAGTCTTCTTTGACTGTTCTTTCAATGTTTTTCATAAAATCTGAAAAAATGAGAGCAATTTAAATAAATAATAGCTACTCTCAGTTAAATATCAAAATTAGGAACTTCTATTCCATCTGCATTGTGTATTTATGATGTAAAGTGTATGTTGCTGTTTCCAAGGTAACAACTGGAACCAGATAATATGTGGAGTAGAATCAAACTATTAACAGAAGCTCACAGGACCTCCTATAGCACAGGTCAAAATTATATTAATGCATTTGTCTCCCTTTCCTCCACAGTGTCCAGTTGCTGCTTAAATTCATGAGTTGTTCTTATTTCTTCAAATACATGAACATAACGGAACATGGCTGATAATAAATAAAGGAAAACAGTTAATGCTAATGTGATGCCCGCAGAATGCATCCAAAGTTCTTGCTCTAATTTTGGGATGTTTCAATATGTTCTGTGCCAGTATGATTTTAATCAGGTTATTTTTGGTACATATTACTATATGTTGAGTTTGCACAACTTTAAAGTTGGTGGAAACATTTCTTTCCCAAGCATTGGGAAGTCACAATTATGCTGAGTAGACAGTCCAAGAATCACTAGCCTACATGTCTTGGGGTTTCTAATAAAACCCCGTTCCCGGAGGGCACACTGTGGAGGGAAGCTTTGTAGGGACTGCCCTTTGGAAAAGAGAACATCTGGCTACTCTGAGTGGGACTCTTCTTATGTGACAGAGCTTTTGTCTGCCTTTCCCAACTGAAGTAATGCTCCCAACAGAGAGACATGGACTGTCCTTCAGTGGTCCTTCACTTCCATAGAAGTGATACTCAGAACACTAAAGATCAGTCCACACTTGTCTGTGGATCCCATGTAAGTGTCTTGGGAGCAAATGGGGTGGTGGCTGATCAGTATTCACACAAAAACACTGTTCTTTTGGGACATATATATGGCCATAGTTGTGCAATCATGGTAGTGCAAATAAATTATACTTGTTTCACAAAAATGGAACACTTGTGTATTCTTAATGGTTGTAAGCAAAAGCCAAGTATTATGAAGTCTGGGATTTTGAAACACCAGGAGCTGAAAACAGCTACTCGCTCATTCCTTAGCTGCTAGTGGGAACATAATTTCTTAAGTAGAAGGAAGGGATGTCTCTCTCACACTCTGCTGTTTAACATTTAGGTGAAGATAATATCTGCCTCCCTATAGGATCTGCATGGTTAAACCCATTATAATCTAATGAACTATAGAGAAAGGTTGTGAGAAAGAGCCACAAATTTCTCAGTAAGCACTGAAGCAGTCTGGAGCATTGATTGAGCACCAAGGATGGTTAGCATTGATAGGCCAAATGCTCACAGAACCCAAGTTAGCAAGTTATAACTCTTCAAGCAAACTCTGTTTTGAAGTGATACTTGAATCCATATGCAGGAGAAGGCAAAATTAAAAGTGAAGCACTCAGCCTTTAATTTTAGAATTTCTTGCATGGCTGCATGACTTCTCAACCGTTAATTCCATTCGAGCCATGCTAGCCTTTTCTCTATTTAATATTACAATTGAGTAGACTATTGGTTTGTCCCACATCTGCCCAAAACTGGTCTAGAGTGTTAAAAAAAAAGCTAATACTTTTATTTTGACATCTCTCTGTTGCTACTAAAAATTCCATATTAAATAAGCTTGGGGTGCGAATATAATGCATTTGATCAGTGTGAGTCCTTGCATTCGACTTGTTAGACGTATGGTCAGGGGAGGCTGGTGGTCTCTCTGAGTAGTAGGGCAGGTAAGCAGAGACTGAGCCAGGAGCTTGGCAGAGGACTCTGAATCCCCAGCAGTCAGCAACCCCACCCCAGAAAGGAAGACTGAGGCATAAAGCACACTAAGGAGGGCATGAAAGTAACCCAACCACACAAAAGTATTTCTTTGGATCCACATTCTCCTGTTGCAGCAACAATTTCCATTCCACAGAGAATCAAGGAACTCCGAGATGATGAGTGGGAAGGTTGAATAACAATGATAATGATTAAAATAAAGAATGGCATTGTCAGAGCTATACAGAAAAGCAGCCTTTGGGATCTAAGGACAAGTTCTGAAACTGCCCAAAGATGCATGGCTTTGTATATCTATCAGGAATCCAAGTTTGCTCAGAAGGAGCACAGTGCAAAATTCCAAGTTATTCATATTCATATCCAAGTTATTCCATATTTAAGAAGGAAGGGTTTGATCACTCAGGAGAAAGTATGGGCTTGCCTTTGCAGAGGAGAAGAAGCAGGACCCATCTGGCTAATGGGGTGGGCCAAAAATCTAATAAATAATTCCTCCTGGGAAGCTTTGCAAACACCCCACCCAACTCCTGGCACCCATCCCTCCATGTATGCACATCATGAACCACACACGCAGAAACCATAAACCCAAATAACAATAATGGAAGTACCAAAGATAACATTTAAAATAAAATACGATCTCCTTGGACCCACACAGAAACGCATCCCTTGGAATACATGCATGCACACACATGCACACATGCATTCAGTCCTTATGCCAGGCAACACACACATTACATGCTAGGCACACATATGCCACACTACACACGCATAGAAACCGGGTAGAGCAGGAGCTGCTGGTGTTTCTTCTCCACCAATCTGCTTGAAAAAAGCCAGCCAGTTGGCCAGGCTTTTCCGCACCTTAATCCTGCTGGAAGGCCCCCTCCCTTGTGGAGGGGAGGTCACCTCTGATTGGCCAGGGCAAGCTAACCTCTTCGTAGCAGCTCTGTCATGAGGATGGGTGCTACCATTGCTTGATGCTGGGGGCTGGGCCAACGTAGAAACCTTTCTGCTGCAGGTAAGGCACTGCAGCTGCAGGAAGAAGCAGAAGGAGTTTGCCCAGGCTCAGCTGAATGAACGAGGCTGCCATTGTGGCCAGTGGCTCCAGTGGTTAGCACTGCGGCCTCCAGCCGCTTACCCTTAAATCAGAAGAGGTGGGGCAGAGGGGGAATTGTGGGTCAAAGCCCATTGGTCTCTGGAATTGGAGCTGCCTCTATGGATGATTTCACACTGGAGGCAAGTGGGGAGATGGTCACCACACCCATTTGCAGTTGTCTGATTGGTAGGCAGCTCGCTGCATCACACGAAGATGGTACACTATGTTAAAGTTTGTTTACAGTAAACTTTTCTGATATTTCACTGAAGATACTTAGCTGTAAATTATCTTTAAAATGTCAACCATCCTGCAGTGCTTCGTTCTGTACATGAGCATGATCTAGAAAAAGTTTTCAGCAGAAACAATTGAACAAGCTCATATGTGAAACATGTTGAATGGAACATGGCCCCGGATTCAATGTAATGGATTGACTGAGATGAGTTTCCATTGGAAAAAAATGATTCTGTTCATCTTCTTTGATGTGTCATGATGGGATATCTGGATGGACATGGACGTTTTTTGCTTTTTTTTAAGGAAAATAAACATTATGTTTTGATTGTGTATTGCAGAGACTATTGTGCACTGCTTTCTGTTCTTAATTGCTTAAGCATATTGTTTTTTCAGGTATTCAGAGAAATAAATATTCCACAGATTAGAAATCCTGCTTTGCCACCACTGGAAGAGATGCCTGAAGCTTATCATGCCAAGATTGCCCTTCTAGGAGCAGGACCTGCCAGTATAAGCTGCGCTTCATTTCTGGCTCGATTGGGCTACTCAGACATCACCATTTTTGAAAAGGAAGATTATGTTGGTGGCTTAAGGTAAATACTACATGCTTAGATTTGAAATAAGGCCCTTTGAACTGCATGTTTTCATCATTATGCGGACGTAAACATAAGGGAAGTTGAAGAGTTTTCCAAAATTTACTCTCCCTGATCCTTAAAAAATACCCTCAAACTGTACTCTCTAATTCACCTGTTCTGCATGTGTGTAAGTTCAAGAGCAGTGACCAAGGAAGATGCATTTTGAAAGAAAATGATTCTGCAGTGCTTGATTTTTCCCTTGTAATGTTTAGCTATATAATGGTATCGTTCAATTAGTAAAGTAGTAATGGCCATTTATTATTAAATTAATGAGATGATTGACACTATTTTTAATTTACACATTTGTATATGCTGTATATCTGTAGATTTCTAGGTGGTTCACAAAGTTCAAATATTATGTAAAACAGCATAAACATATAACATACATGCAAAAATGGCAGATACGTGATTAGGAAGAAGCATATAATATTGGGCAGCTGCACAGCAGGAATCCTGTTATTGTTACTAATTATTTTTCAGTGATTTTGGTGTCACCTGTTCAAGGTGCCACGTTTAAGCAGGGCACAAATACTTTATTTGCTCTGTACTTTAAGAGTAGAGATATGTAAGGCAAAAGCCGCACAAAAGACGGTCTCAATCCTCACGCTAGGCTTTTGTTCCATGCCCTTTAATACAACATTGTTATGCTCTTTCTAATCTATTATTTGATGGTAGAGAGGATTTGAGGCTACCCCTTTCTCTTTATGTATACAATCATACATAGTTATTTTAGAATTAGTCTCATTAAATATAGGGTTGAATGTAAAAGTGACTAGTTTGTTTTTGAGTAAACAATCGGACTAATGTAAGAAACAATATAATAAACGTTGTATTGTCAGGCTTTATGCATAATGTACCCCCCACCCCAGTTGTTACTGGAAATGGCTGAAAAGTGACAGTCAACTCATACTGTAGTGTCTACACTTCTGTAAAGTAAAATGAATCCTCTTGTTTGTGTAGTTTAGAGTTTCAAATACTGAAACATTTAAAAGGATCATTTTTGCCTCTATATTCTCAGCGCAACAGTTATGAAAGAAAAAACAAAACTTCTAAAACTATTCTTGTGTTTCCTTTGCTCTATCAGCATTTTCACCTTTTGACAGTCATTGTCATAACCTTCTCAGTCCACCATAGTTTGGCTGTTAATATTCACAGTCTCTGGCTTTACATACTTTGCTTACAACTGTGTACTTATATCCATTTTTTTCAGCCGCATTTCATTGTGTCACAGCTGCCTTTGCAGCTGCATTTGACTGTTTTCTAGAGTTGGTAGATCTGTCATGATTGGATGGAACATACCATCAAGTTCATTCTGTCTCACTCTTTCCCATTCAAGCTTCATTTGTTCTTCCCAGCCTACACTTATATCTGATAATACAACCTAAGTGGTAGTATCCATAGCTGCAGATGTTGGAGACGCTTACCCAGGCTGAAGAAATGATGAACAATATTTACCTATCAGGATTCCAAGTATTCTTTCTCCAGGTATAACAGGGGCAACCTGAGAATATTCTTGGTGAATAAACAGAGTAAAGAAACACCAATGTTTGTTTTTGAAGTTCACCATCAGTGTGCATATTTGAAGTCATTTCCCAAATCCATAATCTCCGGAAGCTGAGTTGGCATGTGCAAATACTAATAGTTCAGATATTTCTTCATTAAGTTTCTGTTGAACTATTTTAATGGTAGCCTGTATTTCTTTGGCTCTGAAGAAAAATACCACATCTTCCTTGATGAGCTGGCCTGAAAACAGAATGGGACAAACAGATCAATGTCATCCTCTACAACAATGGTATCAGTAAACCAGGCTAACATAACTGCTAGCTTTAGGTCTTGTAAAGCCCTTGCCATTCGATTTATATGAAAGGAATTTTCATGAAAGGGATTCTTGTTTGTTGATCTTCAGTTTCATTTTGCTAATATAGTTTTTCATCCAGCTCTTTTCAATCTGCTGGTATATGCCACCTCTTTGAGAGTCTATTTGCATATTAATCAAACACTATTGTAGCTTCTAGGTAGTGTTTGTATGCATAGTCAGAAAATAGGCAGTATCAAATGGGAACACTGCTCTTACACAGTTGGTATTGGACAAGTGTGAACATCCTATAGTGCAACATCAATAGTGTAAGGTGGCATGATGGGTTTTCTCAGAAAAAACTTGTTGTACTAGCCTATGCTATGGCATTGTGCTACTAGTGCTTCTTTAATTGTGTAAATACAGTGGTCCCTTTTGATACTGCTGTCTATTTCATATATGCAGACCATTGAATCCTATGTAGAAAAGTTAGTTTTACCATCCAGAAAAAGCTTTCTGGATTATGTAGTTTGTACAATGTGCCTGATACACTGTTGGAACAGCACGAAGAAATCCTAGTATATCTGGTTTTAAGAAAAGGAAGCTGCAGTCAAACAAGTGTGCTGGTGCAAACACAATTCATATCTGAAACAATCTTCTTCTGAAATGCTTCATTTCAGAAGGAATATCTGAAGTAAAGATACTGGGTTCAATTGTCTGCTCACTCCTCTAAGTGCTTGGGAAATAGCTGTTAATGTTGACCCCCTGTTTAAAAGAAATAAGTTTGGCAGTCTTACCATTCATTTTTGAAATGTATCTTCTGGTCAGTTTTGTTAGCTATGTCAACACCAATACCTCTCATTCCTGTAGGTATAATTTTAACTAAATATTTTGCAGCTAAATAAATATTCAGGTAGTATCTATGAGAGCATCCTCACACTAATTCCTGCTTGGAGCTTCAGCTTTCTTTATGTTGGTCCCTTGTCATATAGGATGATTCAGGCCAGTAAACTTTCCTCTAAAGAAACTCAGTGAAATAATATCCAAATGGAGCACTGAGCTTCAGGCATGCATCTCCCTTCTGTCAGTTCACCAGCAATATTCAGGTTTTGCATAAGTTTGTGCTCATTGACCAAGTCTGGTGACAGACTTGCTCAAAATCTGTTGGTCCTTTTAATAGTACGTTCTCCATTTTCAGGCTTTGACAAAACTGGTGGATTGATCTCTAATTTTTTCATGTTCTGCAGACAGAGGTACTGAAATGCTTTACTTGTGGCCAGCTGCAGTACCAAAAACAGGGAGAAAGTGGGAAAAAGGAAGCATGTCATGCAAGGTCTGAAGATGTAACTGAAACGTAACCACCCTTTCTGTTTCAACACATTGCTGCACCGATGCCGTCTTTTTCTTATACTGCAGCCACAAACCGATTGTACATGAATCAGGCTGTTCTATGAGAAGGCTGTTTCTCCTCCTAGGCTGTGGGACTCCCTGCCAAGGCAGGCTAGGCTGCTCCTTGAATTGTTTTATTCAAGTACTTTAGACCATAAGTTGATCAGTTAGGTTGGGTGCTGCTTCTATTTTTTTTTTAAATATGTAATTATTATGTTCTTATAGCAATGTAATGTATTGTTCTAATCAGTTTTAATGTTGCTTGGAAGCTACCTTGAGTGCTATTTTTGGTAGAAAGTTGGAGTACAAATCAAATATATGAAGCTGACATGCATTTTCCACTATTAGTTGAATAAATATTTTCTCTTTAAAAGGCAGTTGGATGATAAAGATGAATATAAGCTTTGTTGGTCTATTATGTATTATATTTTATTCTGTTTTATTTTAGCCTTGAATTTAGCCTTGAAGAAATGCCTTGAATTTCTTACGCTTCTTTTTAGATAACTTTTTATATTTTCCTCACATTTACATAATAGAAGCTCACATGGATATGTGTTGTGTGTAGGGATGGAGAGATCATTCTGTTTTAGTTAGAGTCAGGTTCACATGTGTTCATTCATAAGTTTGTCCCATCCTACTTGAGCATTAATCTGCCTATTGCTTAAATCTCTACATAAATGTATTTAATAATTACTGAAATATACATCTTAATCTATTTCATCACAAATGTGCAGTTCTAAATGTATGTATCTCAAAGTCTGTACTTCTAAGGGCACAATCATTAATTTGGAAGAAGAAGGGCTTGCCATGTCATCCATTCATCACTGCCATTGGCCAGTTCCCCATCCAGTGCCAAATCCTAGTTTCTGAGACATCCCTCCCTGTGGAGACCCTCAAATCCCACCTCCCAGGCATGTCACCAGTCCCACACAATCTGTTGTCTTGATAATCATCCTCCCTGACTGCTCCCAATTTTCTGTTCCACACCTAAGCACACTTGTCATCTGAACATTATTGCCCTATTGCCAAGGATCTTCTAAATTGCTTCTGGATCATCAAACATCTCAAACCCAGAGCTAAGGAGCTTTCCTCCTTCATTGATGTGTAGTTCCACAATATTTCCATAACTTGAAAAAGAATTTCCAAGTTTTTGGAACAAGTCCGCTAGGTCTGCTTGATCCACATCATGGAGGAGGTTCCCAAGAAAGAGCTGGTGACTGGCTGGGTACCTAAAGAGCCATATAGATCCTTCATTTTCATGTTCTTTGATCTCTGTACACCTCAGAGAGGTGGAGAAGTGGGTTGTGCTGGAGGGTGGGGAGGGGAAGAAACTGAAGCCCTTTCCGTACACTGATTTCTAATGGTTCCCCAACCTCCTTCCCTCTCCCTCAAAAGCACTTTACCTGGCTGTTTGAAAATGACCATCTAGATCATTGACGGCGAACCTTTTAGAGACTGAGTGCCCAAACTGCAACCCAAAACCCACTTATTTATCACAAAGTGCCAATACTGCAGATTCAAATATGCCAGGAGGACAGTACAACATTAAAAGAATCCCAGTCTCTTACTTAGAACATCTCTTTGCTAAATCTTAGATGTTAAATTTCAATTTTTCATAATAAAACTCAAAGCTAAAATCTTGTGTTAATAAAAATGAATGTATTAAAACTCACAGCCAGTCTCTCTCTCTCTCTCTCTCTCTCTCTCTCTCTCTCTCTCTCTCTCTCTCTCCTGGCGCTGCTACTCCTTTTCGAGCATGCACATGGCCGCTCTGTGCGCTGTTATTCAATGCTCGGCTGCTGGGGCGATGCGGGGCGACTTGGCTGGCGTGCTGACAGAGAGGGCTCTGCATGCCGTTGTGGCACACGTGCCATAGGTTCACCATCACTAATCTAGGTAAAACATGTAGGACAAGGCACAGTGATGGGTGCACCTCACTCTGACTGTTGGATGCACATAAGCTGCCAAGTTTCCTGAATGTATTTTATCCTAAAATAGGAATGTTTATCTGCACACAGTTCTGTTTTTTGCACTGAAAGCTTCTTTACAGAATTTAGAGTAGGGCAAAATCCAGAGGATAGCAACATTCATTCAGGATGTTTGGATCAGACCAATTAATTTTGAACTGCATAACTGCACATCCTCGATGATCCTCCGGTGTAAGGTGATGTTTTAAAGATTAGTGGAAACCCTCCATGTTTTAAAGATGTACTTAGTACTTTCTGTTTAGGGGCTTTAAATTAAGTTTGCCTGCCATTTTAAAAAATATTTATTAATCCAGGGTGCCCTCTTTTTTGTAAAACAGCTGGGAAATGCTTCATCAGTTCTGTTTTATTTGTTCTCTCTAGCACATCTGAAATCCCCCAGTTCCGGCTGCCATATGATGTAGTACATTTCGAAACTGAGCTTATGAAAGACCTCGGAGTGAAGGTAATGAAAAATATAAACTGCCTTGGTACAGCTCAGTAAAAGAAGCCAGAGCTCTGCCAAAGATTAACAGCAAAATGTCATGCACATTAGTAAAGAACAATTAAAAGCTACACCAGGCTGAGGGAGGAAGATGGTTTTTCTTGCTCAGGGCATTTGTCTGTCTGCTGTCTGAATGCCACTAGTTTGGAAAAGGGCAATCAATAGTTCTCATCTGGCTTGCCTGCATGTGATTAATTGTCTGTAAGAAACAAATACCTAAATTGCTTTAGGGGTTCAGTGTAGCTATTGGAAGGATTTTATTTCTTTAATCATGTTGTTTTGTTGCTGCTTTCCCCTCCCCTTTTTATGCAACTTAAATATTAGGTTTTATTTTTAGACCATAAATTCACCACTCTTTTCCCTGCCTCAAGTTGCTTCTAAAATAATAGATTCACGTTAGATCATTTTTGTGCATTAACTAAGTGGAACATTGATGATGAAGATGATGACGATGATGGCTGCAGTGATGGTTAAACTTCCCTGAAAAGTTGCAGCATTGTGTCTTTGTGATCTGTTGATGTTGTTTTCCCATGTTAGATTTCTAATAATCAAAATAGCCTGCTATTAGATGCACTGAGTTCTTTCCAGGGTAATCAAACTATTAAACAGCAAAGTATGATAAAATTGTAAATTTCTGAAAGATGCAGTACATCCAGTACCTATCACTTTTCCTGGTATTATCTTGGCCCTTAATAAACATTGAGGAAGAGTCTCTTTGCATCTCCACCACACTGAATTCTTTCTTCAGTAAAATCAGAGTAATTGCAGGGCTCACAGATGAGGAATGTAATATTGTCTGGAGTTGTTATTTATGTATGTAATTTCTTTTCTAAGAATAACTTGAGTTTTAAAAAGTTATAGGACTAGTCCTAAAGAATATTAAATCCTTGTTTTTCAATGTATATATCATCCACAGCATTGTACAATAAAGAAGCATGATTTATACCTTGTGCCCAATGAATATAAAGTATCTGTTTGAGGAGGATTGTAACCATGTTTTATTATATCATTTCGTAATTATGAGTTACAACTCCTCTTCTAAAAGGAGTGAGGGGGAATTGTTATACATATGTACCCGGCCCAGAATTAAGTTACAGGAGTTTTAGTAAACAGCTTTTCCTTCCATGTGAGCAAGGACAGCAAGTATGTGCAAGCGCAAGGGTGGCCGTGGGGTTGTCTCCCAGGTATTCCTTAGGGAGATAGTCCAAATTCTGCTCCAATTCCAGATCGTAATAAATGCTGCAATATTGCTGCTACTGTATTACTCGTTTTCCCTTCCCCTGGGATGATAAAACAAAATAGAGAACTATACAAACAAAATACCTTGTTTCATAAAAACATAAGAAGAATCTTGCCGGCTCAGAACAAAAGCATATCTTATTGGTATCCTACTTAACATAGTGGCCAAAAAGATAGCTGTGAAACTCACCAGTCATCCACGAGGGCAATATTCCTCTTCTACTGGTTCCCCAGTGCTCCATCAGATGCTCAGTTTTAGGTATCTGTGATGACCAGTAGCCATTCATACCTTTGTCCTTTGACTAGACCACTTTTAGAATTATCACCACATCTTAGGTAACAAATTCCATAGTTTAATTGTGTGCCAACCAATTAATACTGTTTGCCACAGATGTGCTTTCTTTTAAATCCCAAAGCCTAAGTCAGTTATGTCATCCCCTTTCAGCAATGCTTCCAGGATGGTTTACAAAGACAAGATAAAATACAACCATCTTAAATTATAGCATATTAAAATAGCACGTTAAATATATTACAAGGTTGAGAATGTCAAAAGTGCATCACCTTGTGCAGAAAAGACAGGAAAATTTGTGCCTGACGATTGGTTCTGGGGAAGGGGATTTCACAGACAGGGTATCGTAACTGAGAATGTCCTCAGCCTCGCCACTGCAGATGGGAACCTCTGGGGAAAAGGCTGCAAAGGCTCATATATGGCAACATGATCTAGGAGCGAGGGCGTGAGCCAGGCCTGTGAGCTCTAATCAGTGTGGCTCCTTCAAAAGAAGCTCTAGCACTTTGGATTGCATTTGGGAAAATGCAGTTAGCCAATTAAGTTCTTTATACTGTTCACCCCATATTTTCACTGAACCTTCTGGCCTAGTGAGTTTAGGACAAGATTATTTGTTAAAGGCACATTTGGCCCCAAGTTGAGCTTTTATGCTCTTAAATGATTGATTGAATTACCAGCAGAAGGCAAGAATAATGTGAGTTTAAAACTGACTGTTAATGTTATGATGAGCTTCATAATATTATCTTTCAGATCATTTGTGGCAGAGGCCTTTCAGTGGAAGGATTGACACTCAGTGCCTTGAAGGAAGATGATTACAAAGCAATCTTTATTGGAATTGGTAGGAATTCATCATTCTTTTCCGTACTTGGTTTTACTGGAAGTATTGTATGTATGATTAATGCTGCAATAAACGGGCTGTGTTTCTGTGTTTTGGCAAGAGACCTTTCAACACATCCATTGTGCAAGTGATATAGTTGGAAGGCAAGGATTTTTTTTCCTATCTCTTAACTTAGTTTTAATGTGACCTTATCTGGAAATGACCACTTTCCCCAATATATAATTATACCTATTACCTGCATGAAATATTTCTCTGGGGCTGTGGAACTATGAAACAGTGTTGGCTTTGGCAATAGCTGCTGTGTTACATTAGGAACAGAGTTAATAAAACCTGAATCAATATGCTCTAGTACAATTATCACATTCCTAAGGAGCACTTTATTTAATAGATGTCACTAATTTAGTCAAGATCTCAATATGATCATTAAGTAACAAAATTCCCTAGGAGATGTATTTATACTGTGTTAATGTCAGTGAGATTGTCTGTTCTTTTTTTAAAGTAATACATTCTTTTTATTTATGCTTTTTTTTAAAAAAAATTAGCTATTCCCAAATGCTTACCTCTTTATATACCATATTAATCAAAATTCATATAGACTACTTATTCATTGTTCTTACCTTGTGGTTGAGTAGTTATATTTTACTATAAATGGATACATTTGTCCTTATTTAGTGGTTCAGTAGTTTATTTTAAGGAAATAGAACAACAGGTTGCAAACTGGCAAAATTCCTTAGGAATCAACTTTTACATAAGCTGGGTGCCCACTTTGTAGGAAGCAATCAGAGCCCCTGCAAATGGTACACTGTGCCATGGGAAACATATCTGTACATTGTGTTCAATTCCCCCTTTATAGTGCTGGTAACCCCATATATGTGCCACGAACACCAGCTGGAGTGACTCTCCCAAAGCTACCTTTATAGAGGTTTGGTAATTGGCTATACAGGAAGAGAGATGGAGCTGATTTGGGTGTTGCTGATTTATACTTTTATATATGGTGAATTGGGAGTTGTCCCCAGATTCATTTCATTCCTGCATTTGCTATGCTTAGGAAATAATGCTGAAATGAGGAGATTGCATGATTATGTTTTACTTACATATTCTTAATTTGAAATCACTGGAATCTCCCAGTTTAGCTGTTACTTTCTATATGCAGTGAGAAGATGGGAAAGGATACAGGCAGACTTTGATCTCAGCAGTTTAGAGGCAGATGGAAAGTAACATCTGTACTATAAAATTGCATCTTTAGTTTTAAAATGACCCAGGTATGCACTAATTAGAACAACCCTATGCAGCACTTTGGTCATGTTTTCTCTTTTCTTAATGATAACATGTGAATATTCACAAAAAACAGTGATCAAATTGTTTGCAAAGTAGAGGCCTTCTAGGAAAACCTTTCCTGCAGTCTTTGCTATGCTGTAAAGAATTGGTGGCTTTTAAATGATGAAATGAAATCCATGTTTATCTACTGAAGAATATGCGTGTACAATCAAATCCCTCCCCAGAATACGCTAGGCAAATTCAGTATGCACAGCCAAGAGTGGTATGAGACTTAATGCTCTTTATTGATCTAGACGTTGCCTAAGTGAACATAATAAGAAACAAGTTGCCCAACTGTTCTTTTTTCCCTGTTATTGATTACAAGAGTGGTAATTCTTAGTACAGCAACAACTGTTGTTCTCCATCTGGGTATTCAGTATAATAAGCTTTGCAGGTTCATTCTCTCGTGTGATTATACTACAAACCATTGTGATTTATATAATCCTAAATCCTCTCATTGTTTGAGGCCTTCCATGCATAGGAATTTCCATGGGGTCATATTTCTTGATAATTGTACATGAGGCAATGTGCCAGGTTACTGTCCCTCTTGATTTAATCCATCTGACAAACCATGTACCCTTCATTCTTCTTACCCCTTGCTCAGGGGGAAAAAAATCCCAGAAGTTAGGTGGGAATACATAAAGAGCTTTGGTTTTCTTTGCACTGAAAGCCTGGCTAAGCTACGAACTATCTTTCTTATGTTTTGAGATTACCCAACTAGGTACAGCTGGGATTTTGTTAGGAGCAGAAAATAGGAAAAATGACTGCCAAGAAAGAGGGAAGCCAAGAGCTCCTTTCTTTTCGACCTGCTCTACTAATCCTCATCTCACATACTGTGGAATGTACACATGAAGTTGTCTTATAGTGAATCAGACCATTGATCTATAGTGAATCAGACCATTGCCTCCCTTGACTGACAGCAACTATCAATGTTCAGGAGTGCCACGAGCTCTTGCCATTCTGTTTTGATGACAAACTAGTACCCATTTTGCAGTAGGGAAGACAGGAACACTGTGACAAGATTTGTGCTTTGACTGTATATCTAATAACTAAACAGTGGGATACTCCTGCTCTCATTTTCCAGCATTTTAAAAGCTGCTTCTTAATCTTCTGCAGGAGAGCATGAATAGGGGCTTCAGTCCATTTCTCCTAACTCAATAAACTCAACATGCAACTGCGCAAGTTGCAGAAAGTGTTGATCTGCAGCAGGAAAATTTACCAACCTATACATGAGTTAATGGAGCAAGACCCATAGTGAAAAGCAGATTATCTCTGAATGCAAAGTGCTGGGGATACACAGGGAACAGGTTATTGCCTTCATAACTTCCTACTATATGGGGTCAGACTGTGACATTTTATGGCCTAAGGTGTAGTAGAAGATGCCCCCTCTCCCATGAAAAGGTACATGATTGGCTCAAGGCCAGGCAAGTTATTTGGCATCTGAGTCAGAAAATCACACAAACATCTCTCTTCCCTTCTGGTTGGATCCAGTCTTACTTAAAGTGGACCCATGGAAATAGATGGGGCAAACTAGTCATGACTAACTGAAGGGAGTCATGGATAACCCCCTTCTTAGGCTTTTTACTCTGATTAAGTCAAAGTACATTAAATAGTTGTAATAGAAAACTAAATAACTAACAATTCCTTTGTCTATTCATGCCACTGAAATCAGCCACTGCACTCTGCCTAATGGTAGTGCCAGCCCTGTTGGGGCATCTTGCTGACTGCCATTGGAAACAGATTAGTACTGAAATGAAGGTTCATTTTTTGTTCTTGTGTTCAGTTGCTTGCGAGGCTAAGGATTCTACAAAGATCTCTGTGAAGTAAGCAGCTGGTCTATAGAATCAATGGAGGATCTTGCTGCAGGGCAGGGTCATAAGTTGGAGGCTTTTTCCTTCATGCCAATATTAGGATGGACTGATATGAAAACTGGCTTGTATGTAAACACAACCCAGATTAACAGTTGAGTATGGCTTGTCTTGGAATCATGCATTCTTATTCACTCGTAGGTTGTTGTTACATAGGAAATCTCTGCTGTGATTTAACAGTGAACAACAATGAGTGCTCAGCCCCAACAATAAACTATGGATTCTCTTCCTGGGTTGTTCATGTTTAACAATGCATAGTTAAATCATAGTGCAGGTTTTGCATATAGCAACGTACAATGCAGTGCAGTACTCAGCACATAATCTGTGCAGTAGTTACAAATAAAGCAGATTTCCTATTTAAAGAGAAGATGTAAGATGGCTGATTGTTTGCTTTCAGCATGAGGCATTTGTACCGATTCCTCTTTTCAGCTTCACTCTTAATCTAATACTTCCTGGAAAGAAAATTTTCTCCTGAACTGACCTTGGTGTGTCCAGGCTGTAAAGCACTGGCACCATACAGGCCTTCTGATGTGGTGAAGAAGATAAATTCCTGCTTTGTTCATGGCCTTCATTTACAGTTTCCTTCTCTGAAAGGACCTCCTCAGAGGAGAAGATAGAACTGGCTCTAGGTCTCTGGCTATTACAAGGGTGAGTGGCTAAACCGTAAAGGATGCATTTTCATCTTGTCAGGCTGGCAGAAAGAGGGTTTGTTCATTTTTCCCAGTTGGGAACCACTCTATGCTCCCAGGGCAGTATTTGGGTACCTCTGCTTGGGTTTTATACATAAACTAGGGAGAACTTCATCAAATGGTATGAAGGGACACTGTATGGAAATACAAATTAGAAAGATGAGTTGTAACTGATTGGATAGATAAGCTGATATTCCCCTTTCAACTATTTTTCTCCATCTGTCTTGCTCTTTAGCTCAATTTCTTCCCTTCTTCTGCATCCCTCTGGGGCACATGCTGTTTCTTGTTTCTTACCTTTAGTCTCATCCTTTTGTTATGTCACTGATACCTGCATAACTTTCTCTTTGGCTCGTTCAGAATTCTGCACCAACTATATAACAGGATAAAGTGGGACAAATTTGACTGCTGATGCCACAATGGTCCAAACTTGCAATAGTGCATAGAACAGAGAATCACTTTATTAGTTCACTAGCTGGTAGTAACACTACTTTAAATACTTTAGTTTGCTTTTTGGTAAGGGTGCTTGGAGCACACAGCTTCCCCCAAAGTGAGCAGATTATTTTTCATCCCCTTTAGCCATCTAGTGGTACCTGTCCTACTTGTGCTGGTAAAATAAAGAGGGAAGAGGGAAGGGCAGTGGCTCCTCTCTGTATGATGAACCATTCATTCTATATGGTGAACACTGTGTAATGGGAAATTCTTTGCTTCCCACTTCAGAGCTGATGATTTATGTTTTGTGGCGGCTTTTGTATGGGTACAGCTTTTACAGAAAGCTGTACAGCTTTTACAGAAATGCAGCTTTTACAGCTGCATTATCTGGCACCCTCCAGATAATGGCTGTACCCCCTGTACCAAACTTGGCTTCCTAAGAAAGCACCTGATTTTTATCTATGATAGCCCAAAGGCTTTTGTGGTGATCAGTGCGCTTGCTTTTTAAAAATGAATATAAATGTTAGAACCTAAAGTATATGGCTGGCAGATGCTGAATTTCAGAATGACATTTCTAGACACATGTGTCTCATGTAGAATTGCCATCATTTTAATGCTCCATTATTAAAAGGAAATGCCATAAACTTTAGAAATTAATCACTAAGTTACAGGTTTTATTTATTGTCAAAATGAGTAA